TTGAGAGAATGTGTATGAAAAAGCTTGTGTTTGTAAATGAGTCAGTGGAAAAGAATACAGACAAAAAATAAAATTAAATAAAATTATCAAGCGTTCAAAGTTCGTTTGAAAGTGCTTGCTCAAAATGTATCCATTGCACCGGTATAATGCAATATTTTTAAGAATAAAACCCACTTCTCTTGCAAGAGTACAGTCTTTCTAAAGCACCACTAATATTACAATTCTGGTTGATACCTATAAGCCGAAAATTATTTAAATGTCCTGGCTGATAACCTGTCATAACTAACACTATTTGTTTGTCTAAATAAATTAAAAATAATCACTGAAAACTAAAATCAATCATTTTAAATGCTGAATCTAGTGAATTTGGACATCATAACATTATAAAAAACACGGTCACACTTTATTTTAAGGTCTAATTCTCGCTATTAACAAGCCGTTAACTACGACTTGTGCCTCAATAAACTGAGATAAGTGAGGTAGATGACAGCAAAGGTAACATACATTTAAAAAAGGAAACAAGCATGCATTATTAAATATTCAATATCAAAAGCAATAAATTAGAAACATCTCTGAAATCTCCCAAAAATATTTTCTAGAAGTCTTCACGCATTTTCTTTTTTGGTTTTGCGTCTCTCGGTTTTTGTGAAGATGCACAGCAATTATTATGTGTGATTTGGTGCACAGTACTTTTTTTTTTTCTTTTTTAAACAAACAAGATTAAGTACTGTATTAAATTTATTTTATGGAACCAAAACCCTGTGTGCTGTATGTTGGACAGGCTTTTATTTCAATTAAAAAGTTTGCGATTCATTTGTATGTGGAACTGAAAAACAACTAGATCATAAGAGTCATTCGTTCTGGACTACAATGGCCATGCTGCATGTTTGCTACTGTGTTCAAAAGGCAAGGGCAACTCAATAGAAAACTTCTCTATTTTCATTGTATTGTTTTGACTTTATTAATTTGTAAAATTTCTCTCTTTTTTTCTGAGCAGTGGGGATACTCCCGCTAGCAGTCATTGTCCTGTGATGGCTGGACAGAGTCTGGTGCTGTGGGAAAACTGCTGCACTCTGATACTAGACTCCTATGTGCGGCAATAAAACCATTTGAGAAGAGAAAGACGAGCACATAAACCAATAACATAAGCAGCAAAAATGAGTGCAAGAAAAGAAGGGCAGAGAGGACGAATCAGTTTGGGAGGGGGTGCTGGTGTGCATGTTTATTTTCTGTGTTGCCCTTGTTATTGATCTCCCTCTGTCTCTGCTGTTGTTGTGTCGGTGGGTGTTTTATATAGAGATGGGGAAAGAGAGAGCTGAAATGAGATGGCCACAGTCCAGTTTCACGCCAGCCAAGTTACTGCCATCCACGAAATCAACTCAAAATTACACCGTCCAATAAAGCTGCTGCAAAGAGACTGAACAAGCTAGTAAAATAAAATAAAATCTAAAAAACAGAGCATGAAAGTTAAGTGTGGAAAGATCTATCTATCTATCTAAAATCTGAACTACTAGCCTGACAGGAGTAGCACTCACTAGTTGATGAAGTCGACAGCCTGTGTCTTCAGCTGGTCAGCGCTGTGCAGATCGGCCAAGATCAGAATCTCTGCTGCGTTTTCCACAGACAGACTGGTGCACAAAGCATCTTCACACATCACCTTCAGCCGCTCTAGAGCATACTAAAGACAGAGAGATTGCACTTCAATAAAAATGTGTGTCTGTGAGCTTGTGTTGTCAAAACAAAGCAGATGTTGCATTGCTATTGGCAGATATTGGCTCAAAGACATTGACATTTAATAAAAAAAATACATTTTTGTTCTTAGATGAGAAGAAAAAATGCTGTTTGGCATGTATTCAGCTAAATGTGGTGCTTGTGTGCAGGGGCAGACTGGGGCTAAAAAGTGGCCCTGGACTTTTTGGCACAGAGCGGCCCACCACACCATAAACCCACCAGCTCATTAGAGCTATTTTTAACACCACTTACTAACATTCAAATATAACACAATACAGAAATATATATATATATATTTTTATTATTATTACTAACATTAATGAATGACCGTCATACTTCTTTACATTATAACTCGTCTTTCCTGGTGTATATGGTAATTTGTTAATAATATTTTTACACATCTCTTAGAGCAGTGTTCCTCAACCCTGGTCCTGGGCGCCCCCCAGCACTGCACATTTTGTGTCTCCCTAATCAAACACACCTGATTCAACTCATTAGCTCATTAAAAGAAACTCCAGGACCTGAAATGGGTGTCAGATAAGGGAGACATACAAAATGTGCAGTGTTGGGGGGCGCTCAGGACCAGGGTTGAGAAACACTGTCTTAGAGGGACAGTTTAATATCACTAAAGTTAAATGCCTACCATAATATCAGTCCATATAACAATGCTCTGCTCTAGAAGACTTGGAATGTAGTGCTGAATGTGGACTGTTTTTAGTGTACCTTTCAATTTTCTTTTTTTAATGAAGAATGTTATGATGATGAAAATTACAGTAAACTGTAATATGTGAAATATATAGAGTTACAATTTAAAATAGCTGTTTTCTATGCAAATATACGGCATACAATGATTTATTTCTGTGATCAAAGCTGAATTTTCAGCATAATTACTCTGGTCTTCAGTGTCACATGATCCTTCAGAAATCATTCTCATATGCTTATTTGCTCGAAAAACATTTCTGATTATTATCACTGTTGAAAACAGTTGTGCTGCTTCATATTTTTGTGGAAAATGTGATACATCACCATTGTCTAAAGTAAGATTTAAAATAATAATAATAATAATAATACTTTTATTCAACAAGGTTGCATTAAATTGATTTAAGTGACAGTAAAAATATACTTATTACAAATTATTTATATATGAAAATGTTGTTCTTTAACTTTGTATTCAACAAATAATCCTGTAAAAGTTAGTGTCACAGTTTCCACAAAAATATTAAGAAACAAAAACGATTTTCAGTATTGATAATAATAAGAACCATTATGAAATATATAGAGTTACAATTTAAAATAGCTGTTTTCTATGCAAATATACGGCATACAATGATTTATTTCTGTGATCAAAGCTGAATTTTCAGCATAATTACTCTGGTCTTCAGTGTCACATGATCCTTCAGAAATCATTCTAATATGCTGATTTGCTCGAAAAACATTTCTGATTTTTATCACTGTTAAAAACAGTTGTGCTGCTTCATATTTTTGTGGAAAATGTGATACATCACCATTGTCTAAAGTAAGATTTAAAATAATAATAATAATAATAATACTTTTATTCAACAAGGTTGCATTAAATTGATTTAAGTGACAGTAAAAATATACTTATTACAAATTATTTATATATGAAAATGTTGTTCTTTAACTTTGTATTCAACAAATAATCCTGTAAAAGTTAGTGTCACAGTTTCCACAAAAATATTAAGAAACAAAAACGATTTTCAGTATTGATAATAATAAGAACCATTAATAATAACTGAGCACAAATAATAATTGAAAATAATTAAGCAGCAAATCAGCATATTAGAATGATTTTTGAAAGACCATGTGACACTGAAGCCTGGAGTAATGACGCTGAAAATTCAGCTTTGATCACAGAAAAAAAAATACATTTAAAGCTGCAGTCTGTAAGTTTTTCCTCTTTGTCGCCATCTCTGTTTAAAACCTGCAATTGCAGCTGTGTGCGGAATTATCTTTCTTGCGGGGGTTGTGTGGCGGCACGGCTCCAGCGCGGATGAATCTAATGTTTTGAGGAGTATGTGTGGCAGTCAGTCACCGCACCGGTGTGAAATGACGCAGTGCCATGCTCGAATTTCCCGCGAAAACCTACCCGTACCACTCAAATAAGAAAACATTATTATAAGCTAACCGTTGTGAATTGGGCTAAAGTAAGGCGATAGTTTTGAACACTGGCTGGTTATGTACTTGCTCAAATAATGATTTTGGATCATTTTTAACCAAAAAAAGTTACGGACTGCAGCTTTAAACATTAAACCGTTAAAACATTTACATTAAAATATCTTTAATAGAAAAATAAAACGTTCCTAATCACGACACTTGAAAGCGAAAGTCTTCAGATTTACAATGTTCTAGAGTAAGTTTGAGAATTATATTTTTACTGTTTTTTGAAACATTTTCTTAGACACGTGAAATTTGGGAAGAAATATAATGATATACAAACGTATGCTGAAAATGGCTACGTTAATGTTTCTATATACACTGTGGCAAACAATGTAAATGGCATTAAAATCTGAGAAATTCGAGAAGGCCAGTAGGCCACGTAGTTTGCATGCCTGAAAATTATTGTCTGTCGTTAAACAATTTTTGTAAACCGTTGGCAAATATTGCTGAATTGTCTCATCATGTTTAGCTGTTTACATCTTACCTCAGCTCGCATTCAAATGCCGCGCAGCACAGCTCAGCTCAGCTTCTGTGAACAGTAAATCTCGCCTTCTTCAATTTGATTGGTTAAAACATTTTGACACTGACGAGCGCTTTGAGCCAGAACGCGCTAAATTAATTAGAATGTTTGTCTCAAATGGGCCACACGGGCCATTCGTCTGGGCCGATGGAGGGATAGGCTATGTATATTTACTGTAATTCATTCTTTACATTTACTGGGCCGGCCCACCGGGAAAACTCCCGGTGCTCCAGATGGCCAGACCGCCACTGCTTGTGTGCGAGCATTACTCACCTTGTCAGCAGCAGCGAGCAGGTCATCAGCCATCTTGTCCAGGTTGGGTGCTTTGCCAGTGTAGATGAAGAACATCATCTCTTTAAAGACCTCAGCCTCCACGTCGTTTATCTCAACTCGGTTCTAGACAACAAATCACATCAGAACCCTGTCGATCACACAGTCTCAGAAAGTCAGGTCAGAAAACCCCCAAGACTCCTCAACTTCCACAGACTCTCTTTACACATGTGCTAATCAGCAATGCTTTATCTAAAACAGAGGCAAACACCATAAAGCCAAAGTGAAGTATTATTATTATTATTATGTTGCTGTTGTTGTTGTTTTTGGTATTATTATTAAAATAATATAATAATGGGTAATTTTTGTAATTCTTTAATAACAATAGTAGTATCCATAATGATGATAATTAATATTTTTATTTTGTTGTCGTTATTAAAAATATATAATATGTTATTAATGTAATTATTGTATTAATAGTAATAATAGTATCAATAACAATAATTAAAAATAGCATCAATAATAATAATAATAATAAAATATTAATTAATATATCAACAGATTATAATAACTCATCCGCAGTTGACTATACTCTGAAAGTTGTGCGTGAGACGGAACAGAACGGAACGTGGAAAGTGAAGCTTACGCAGGCCTTAAAACAATCTAGAATTTATTCAACTCTATGTCATTGAGACAGTCAACTGACTGCGCTTTTGGAGGTTTAAAATGTGATGTAATTGGAACTGATGCAGTTCAGGTTGTTGAAACTGCTGTAAAAGCATAACGTGTAATTGTGTCAGAGTCTGGCCTTTCCTCTTATGAGCTCCTGCGGTGTCCCTTGAGCCCCCTACACCAAACTCACACGACCACTGACCTCCACCGTATGAGAGCATATGCGCACACAAAAGGACAGAGTCACTCAAAAAAGCAAATTAATGTATAGCTCAGAAAGCCTCATTCCCTTTCTGTTCCTGAGTGTGAGAGAGTGTGTGAGAGTTTCTCTCTTCTGTCCAAGGCTGCCGGAGCACAATCGCTTTGTTGATTGTCGTGCTGGTAACAAAGCCTTTTCCGTCCCGGCCCGTCCATCACAGCTAAACCAATTAATCCAGCAACTGTTAGGAACTCCACCCCACCCGCAGACACAGAAACACAGCAAGGTCAAATGAAAAAGTTCACTCAAAAGCAAACAGAACTATTTATTAAAGGCTATTACAGAAAATAAAAGTCTGTGTAACCTAAAGTCACAGGCTTTCTGTTTTACCTCCCTCCCCCTGCAGACTGCAGTTTTTGCTATGAATGAACTGTGGCACTTTTGTGTCAATATGAGTACCATCATAAAAACTAGTAACAAATTGACCTAAGTAAAACTGAAGAGGCTCAGTCACTAAAAAAAGGAAAGTTTGTGGTGATGCTTTTGTTTATTCAAATCTATGACCAAAACTACAAAAGTACAGGTTGCCAAACATGAAAATTCGACAACTCTTTAGATTGAGGAACACTATTCACTAGTTCACTATTAACTAGTTGCTTATTAGCATGCATTTTACAAGCATATTGACTGTTTATTAGTACTTAGCACATATTAATGCCTTATTCTGCAAGACCATGTTCTAGACCCCTAACCCTATACCCCATACCTAAACCTAACTACTACAACAACTACATAACTACTATCAATAAGCAGTAAATTAGGAGTTTATTGAGGGAAAACTCTTAGTTAATAGTGAATGCGTGTTCAATAATTTAAAGTATTACCGAAAATTCACTCATCATATAATTCCAAACATTACCATTCAAGTAAGTCAGTAAGATTTTAAGAAATTAATAATTTTATTCAGCAAGGACACATTAAATTGATCAACAGCGACAGTAAACATTTATAATGTTGCAAAATATTTCTATTTCAAATAAATGGCACTTTTAAACTCTCTATTCAAAGAATCCCCAAAAATAGTTTCCATGAAAATATTAAGCAGCACAACTGTTTTCAACATTAATAATTATAAGAAATGAGCACCAAATCATCATATTAGATGTTTCTGATGGATCATGTGACACTGAAGATTGGAATAATGACTGCTGAAAATCCAGCTTTGCCATCACAGGAATAAATTACATTTTGCAATATATTTAAATAGAAAACATTATTCAATTATTAAAACGTAATACTTTCAACAATATTACAGTTTAACTGTATTTTTAATCAAAGAAATGCAGCCTTGGTGAGCATAAGAGACGTCTTTCAAAACCAACCAACCAAAAAAAAACAACAACAAAAAAACGTACTGACCTCTAACTTTCAAACAGTGGTGTATTTGACTTCTGCGGAACACAAAAGAAGAGTGTTTTTTCTTGGTCCATATAATGAAAGTCAAAGGTGTTCAATATTATTTGTTATTTCAGTGATTTTCACTGTATGGACAAAACAGTCACTATGGATGCATCGCAAGAGACGAAGAATGCAGGCTTTCCACTGAGTTTTCTCGGTACCTAAAGCAACTCCACACCACAAAAAAAAAAAAAGTGGACATCAAAAGCACTCCGGTCCACACCAGAAGCTCCAGTGTGAAAAGTCACTGAAGTGTTCAGACAAGTTCATGAGCAGATTTTCAGGAGTCTGTTTATATATATATATATATATATATATATATATGTGTGTGTGTGAGTGTGTGTGTGTGTGTGGATCATTCAGAAACCATTTTAAAATGCTGATTCGGTGCTCAAGAGGCATTTTGTTATTATTAAAAATGTTGAAAACATTATTACTGCTTTGTACTGTTTAATATTTTTGTGGAAACCATGATGCATTTTTTCAGGGTTCTTTGATGAATAGAGCATTTAAAAGAAAAGCATTTGTTTAGAAGATAAATCTTTTGTAACATTATAAATGTCTTTACTGTCACTTTTGGCCAATTTGATAATGCTGAATTTTAAATGTGCTCTATAAATAAAATGTACTTACTTAAATAGACATATATGTATATGTAACATATTTTTCTATGTTTCTGCACTCAGGAAAAAGAAAGGTACAAAAGTTGTCACTGGGGTGGTACCTTTTCAAAAGGTACTTTTGTACCTTTTAGGTAAATGTACCTTTATGTACCTTTGAATGTACCTTAAGTTGCCAATATCGTACAAAAGTGTACCTTTTGAAAAGGTACCTCTCCTGTGACAATATATGTGTGTGTGTGTGTGTGTGTGTGTGTGTGTGTGTAACAGGCAACTCATCTGTTTACTCTCTGATGAGGCATTTCCTCTCAATTCTCTTTAGATTTTCTCTATTGGAACATCAAATCCATCAATATTCTACAGACATCGCAGCCAAATCACTGAGCCCCAGCCATCATCTAAGCCTGACACGCACACACGCACTGACACGTACATGCGTCCACACTCGCTTTTACACGTGCCTATGCACAAACTGAGCCCCAGATCCCATCATTTATCTATTAAGCACACACTCTCTCTCTCAACACTAAACTCAGCCTCACACATTTGCATGGATCTTCACAAAGCTAATAAGCCGCACAAGTAAAAGGAACAACAGGAAGCCTCACTGCTCCACAAACCCCAAACGCAAGCACATCCTGTCCCAAAAAATGGTGCATGATGAAACTCTGGGAAAGGGGGGATACGACAGGAGGAGAGAGACAGAGGAATACTGGATCAGCAGATGGTGAAGCATGGGACTAACATTGATGATGATAAGAGGAAGAAAAGGAAGTGTGTTAGGGGAAGCGTAAGGGGCAATCAGTGCAAATAAGTGTAATTTTAGTATTATTTATATAATATTGGAGCTCTTAATATTTTGAATTAGCTTTAATTTTTATATTTTCAATGTGCTTTTGCCATAATTGTTTTAATATTTACTTTTGGATCTAATTTATTTAAATTTCAGTTCTATTAGTTTTTTGTTTTGTTTTTTTTAGTAAATTTTAGTATTTCAAACTTATTTTTATTTAGCTGTCAATGCAGCATTTTTTATTTACCTTTTTTTAATCTAATATTTGTATTTTATTATTTATTTCAGCTTTATTTTAATTAACAAAAACTACTAACTAACATTAACAATTGTAATTACCTATAACAACACTGCTGCAAATATATAAAATATATTCCACTTTTTTTTTTGTAGTAGTAAATGCATTCAGTTCCTTTTAAGATGCAAGAATTGAGTTCATTACTTGGATTACGTTACAAAAATGAATGTCAAATTAAATAAATGGCATGAAGCATTTCACTAATTGCAAGTGTTATCTTTTACAGTCCTAAAAATAACATACTGTCTTCAGTCCTCATTTAAATAGACATGTGCAGCCCTCTCGATTTACACACGCAATCTTTAACGCCTCTATGAACAAACTCCACTGCTCTGATTATATATCAGGCCTAATACAACTGCCATATTAAAAAGCCATGCATGAAAAATGGCAAATAGTGATTTATGATCGGCTATTGAAAACAAGCAGGAAGATGGTACAGTTGAGCAATTCTGTAAATGCAGAGGTATTAGACCACACAGCTGGACTGAAAATTAGGTTGGATGGATTTAAGTCCAACTGGGAGATAGCTAATATACTTAGAAACTAATAAACACTGCAGAAATGAGACATCAGGAAAACACTTGCATGAAAAACAGCAAGTTGTGCATGAACATTAATGGTGTGAGGGCCTCTGTGATTGTGACGGCCTAAACGGATGGGAGTTGTATCACTGCTTTTGAAGTATAATGAGACAAAATGTACGATAGAAGGGAAGGAAAATAAAAATAAATAAACCTCACCTTTTTACTCTCCTCCATCTCATGTTCAAACATAGCGCTGAATACTGGGGAGCGTGCTGTGAAAGTGAAAGAGAAAGAGTTTTTAATACACAACAAAAAACTTATGAAAAAATAAATAAATCTGGTAATTATAATAAGAGTGAAACAGCGACAGGACACTTTTTCAGCAGCCTTGGTTCCCCAAGTATTTTTCCCATTCATGTTCTCCAAAGGCAATTTCAAAATGTTCTTCGATAAAGAGTTCATGCCATGAACAAACTCTGAGATGAATCACAACATTACAAACTCTGATATGAAACAAAAACAAAAAACAACTATAAAAACCTGAAAAGGAAAGCTACAATACTGTCTACTCTTTTATAAAAGGAAAAGTACTGCTTTCATGAAACTTGGCAAATTATGTAATCAATTCAATTTATTTGTAAAGTGCTTTTTTGTTAAATCATAAGAGGGATGGTGAACAAAGATTCTGAGGAAATGTTTCAGTGATCAACATCAAAAACGAACATCTAACAGTGGTTCCTCAGACAATTTGTGCCTTGGTGCAATTGGCGATCCTTTTGGCTGATTAACCCAGGGGATGATGGCGGCTCAGACCTTACACTCTCTGTTAAGTCAGAATATGGAGTCAGATCTCTCTAGGGCAACTTGTTTAAAGGAGTGTGTGAAGTCTGGCACATTCTCTCCCTAATCACAGCTCAAACACCAGTCGATCAGCTCTGTCTCCACGGCGATTAATGAGGACTACCAGGTACAGCCAGATAACGAGGAATCCCGCCTCACCATGAGCGACAGCGGGAGAGAGAGAGAAGCTGCTTCTGAAACCTGAAACATTCTGCCATCTCAGGCAGTATACATCGGTAGGAAGGTATTCAAATGTTAACTAACATCATGTCTAAGATACCTCTGTCTGGTCGATTTTTGAAGGAAGCACAGATGCTTCTTTCGCTGCCTATGATATCCCACAATCCTGCACGTGTGGGGCAGTAGTTATATGTCTGACAGAGCTCACTAGGCGCGTTTCCATTACAGATTTGCGCAAAACTTTGGCGATAATTTATAAATGTCGATAAAAAAGTATTGCGAAATGACGGCGTTTCCATTAACCAATGTTATGCGACTAAAACGTAACCTTTTGCCTCTTGCGATAAGTCATGGCAACGGATTTTAGTGGGATTTTGACGGATTTTGGCTATATTTATTCAAAGGAGGCTTATGCGTGTATCTTTACAGAAGCAGCAAAGAGAGCCGCTTCAGAAACGTGCGTGGCGCGGCTGGAATAAACCATAGCCTGTATAAAAACATAAACACAAGCATTGATTGGCCGTAATCCGCTTCAGTGGCCGTATCAGAGCCACACTGCGCCGCAGATGTGTGCAGTGTAAATTGTCTAAGCATTAATGGTAGGGAAATCCCCTTATACTGGAGAGCGGCCACGTAAATGTTTCTTGGAGGTTATAGTACATTGAAGAATAATCATATGACTTTTTACATACGCCATGTGACCTGTAAATGCGGAAAAGCCATTTCCATTTGAATCATGCAGTGAAAGAGCGCACTCTAAATGCACACGCGCACTAGACTTCTCGTAATGCGTGCACTCTGTAGGTGTTTTTTTGCGTCGTGAGAATATTGAGCAAAATAGCTCACTTGTCATGGTGTTA